TCATGGCAGGCATGGCCATGGTGCTGTGCAGGCAGACAGGGTGCCGGAACAGAAGCTGAGAGATTAATACTTCTTCACTTGCAGGTAACAGCAAGTGGTCTCTGATGCTAGGTGGTATCCGGAGCATATATGAGACCTCAAAGCTCGACTCCACAGTGACACACTTCCTCCAACAAGACCACACCTACACCAGCAAGGCCATACCTAATAGTGCCACTCTCTTTGGGGGCCAGTGTCTTTCAAATCACCACAATGCTACACCTAACTCATTTGGCTCATCTAACCATATCACCTGTGTTTGATATGCATCTGTTTATCCCTTTGCCATCCTCATACTTTCTTTCACTTCTGTGCACTAGGAACCCCAAGAAATGTTGAGGAAAGTGATGCCAGCAGAGTTTTTAAATCTTTTTTATTCTTTAAAAGGCCTGCTTACAGATTTTAATCAAAGAGAATGTTTGAGGAGGTTTCAAGTAGATATTCTTTCAGAGTGCCAAGGACTTCCCTTCTAGTCCTCATTTGCTGAGGGTTTATTTGTCATGAATGGGTGTGTGAATTTTATTGGATGCATATTTTTAACTAGTACACTGTGTGTGTGTGTGTGGGGGGGGGCGAGGGGAGTTGCTGGGGATTGAACCCAGAGCCTCAACCATGCCAAGCACATACTTTACTCTGAGCTATACCCCAGACCTCTGTTTTTAAATTTATTTTTAATTTTTATTTGTCTATTTATTATACATCCTGGTTGCAGCCTCCTCTCATCCTCCCCTTCCAGACTCCCCTACTCCCCCTCCCACTCATTAATTCCCTCCTCTTCCATCTCCATCCAGGAAAGGGCAGGCCTCCCATGAGTATCGATAAAACATGGCATATTGGGCTAGAGAGATGGCTCAGTGGTTAAGAACATGTATTGTTCTTGCAGTGGACCTGAGTTCAATTCCCAGCACCCACATGAGGCAGCTTACAACTGCTTGTAACTCCAGATTCAGGGGATGGCCCTAACCTCAGGTACATGCACATATATGGACAAACACACATGTACACACAAATAAAATATTTTTAAAAAAACATGGCATAACAAGTTGCAGTAAGACTAAGCACCTCCCCATGTATTAAGCCTGGGCAAGGTGACTCAGTATGAAAAGTGGGGTCCCAAAAGCCTGAAAAAAGAGTTGGAGACAGCACCCACTCCCACTGTTAGGAGTCCTACAAGAAGACTAAGCTCCAATTGTGATATATGCAGAGGGCCTAGGTCAGTCCCACGCAGGCTCCCTGACGGTCGGTCCAGTCTGCGCACCCCTATGAGTCCAGGTTAGTTAGATTCTGTGAGCCTTCCCATGGTGTCCTTGACCTCTCTGGCTCCTCTCTGAACTCCTTTCTCCTCCTCTGAAGAATTCCCGAACTCCAACCTAATGTTTGGCTGTTGGCCAGACCCCCATTTTTAATATCTATTGAGTTGAACATATGTCCCCCCCTAAACTGCTGAGATACATCCAAATTAATCCTAATGTAGGAAATGTTTTGTTTCCTTTTGATCATTAGCCACCCCACCCCACGCCCCACCCCCGCCTCTGTGCATGTCTGATGATCTTTGAGTGCTAGACATTGAATAGAAGAGAGGAATGTTCCAGACTGTGTCTTCCACCAAAGAACGTTCCTGCTTTTCTGTTAGACAAGTAGGGTGAAGGACTTACCACTTTCATCTAACCAGGGATTTTAGTTCTCCTGAGCCTGGATGCAGTTTGGACCAAGAACTCTATGAGGTTGGAGTGTTTATGCCCCAGTGTGGATGGGGTGAAGTTGAGGTTAGGAGGATGGGGGATAAGAAGTTGGTACTATGAAGCTGGAAGTGGTAGCTTGTACCTGTAATCCCAGCACTTGAGGGTCGGAGATAGGTGGACTGCTTTGAGTTGGAGGCCAGCCTGAATTAAAGAAAGAGACATTCTGGCCCCTAAAAGAGACTGGGAATATGAGTGTGATAGCAGTCTCAGCTCCCATACCAAAAAGCTGAAGATAGCCACTAATGGGCATGGAATATCCACACACAGAATGATGAGAAGAGGGCGAAAGAGGAAGGCTTTGGGAGTACTTGGAGAAGCACAAATATTTTGGATATGTTTGTGTACATTAAGGAGGACTTTTTTTTCAAAGAAAATAGTTGCTAGATACTGGCTTTCTGTCTTACACTAACCATTGTAACCTAAGGCGAAGATGCCACTTAGATGCCATAGAAAAGACTTCCAAAGTTTCCTTAGCATTTCTTCTTTGCTGAGCTTGCAGGCCTTTAGTCCTAGAAACCTGGGGAGCTCAGGCAAGGTTACAGTATCTGCCTGCACCGCAGAGTGACTTTGAGGGCAGCTAGGACAACTTAGTGAGCCTGTCGCAAGCTAAAAAGCAAAAAGAGGGCTAGGTGTGCAGTTCAGTTCAGTGGTCGAATGCTTGCCTAATGTGTGCAAGATCCTGAGTTCAAACCACAGAAAAAGTTCTAAAACCACAAAAAAGTTCTGAAACCACTAAAAGTGTCTATGTGGAGCTGGAGAGATAGCTCAGCAGTTAAGAGCACAGGCTGCTCTTCCAGAGGACCTTGGTCTGAATGCTAGCACCCTCATGGTGGCTGAGAACCATCTTTAATTCCAGTTCTAGGGGATCTGACATCCTCTTCTGGCCTCCAGAGGCATTGTACACACGTGATGCACAACCATACATGCAGTCAAAACACCCAAACACATAAAATAAAAATTAATAAATGTATTTAAAAATGGTCTATATTGCTCAAAAGAATATTATAACACAGAGTTCAATTCTTGGATAAAAATTACCCAAAAATCTTACTGCCAAACTAATTTAATTAAAATGTTTTGTGTGAATCTTCTGTTCTTTTGTTTATGAATACACAAATGCAAATATACCCAATATCCTTATTTTTGTAACTGTAACCACAACATTTAGGAAGCAATCTCCCTCCTTTCTAAGATTAAGTTCAGTTTATGACTAATATTTATTAGTAAATCAGCAATGGGATAAAAGTCTTCATTTTATTTATGACTTTTAATGCTTGCTCCATTCTGCCAGTTGGGGAGAGGGTAGTAGTCGGTATTGAATGGAGGACTTTGAACTTACTGGACAATCATTCCACTGACTGAACTATTAGCCCCAGGCTCTATTCTGCCATTTAAAAAAAAGATTTCTTTTTATTCTTATCTAAGTGTATGAGTATATTCACAGGTGCCAAAAGAAGCCAGAGAGGGTTTTCAATTCCCTTGAGCTGGAGTTACTGGCAGTTTTGAGTCACTGGACATGGGTGCTGAGAATTGGACTCAGTTCTTTGAAAAAGCAGCCATGGCCGGCTGATGGACATGGGAGGTCTGCCCTTTTCTAAAGAGAAAGAAGGAGGAGTGGATTTGGGAGAAGAGGGGAGGTTGGGAGGGACTACAAGGAGAGGAGGGAGGGAGGGAGGGAGGGGAAACTGTGATCAGGCTGGAAGTAATTAATTAATTAATTAATTAATCAATTAATTAATAAAAAAGAAAAGCAACAAGTGCTCTTAACCTCTGAGTCATCACTCCAGTCCAATTCTGCCATTTGTCTTTTAACTCAGTTAACCTACCTTTAGAGTGTGGCAGACAAAGTGCAGCCCTATTTAACACACACATGCGCACTTGCGCATGCAAACACACATGAGAACATATTAGATGGAGGCATAGCTAGAGAACCAATTACAGCTTTAAGTTTTCATCAGTCGTGAAGCTTCAGTGATAGTTTGCACAATTTCCCATTTCAGGCTGCTATGGACTAGGTTCTTGGTGAGCTGCTCTGCACTATATATTCCACATGTAGCTCTCTTCCCCTAGCCCTTCCCATTATTGCTTGCTCGTCCTTAGGGTTCCAAAGGAGTTACCCCTCATGCATGCCTTCTCTAGTGGCATCACCTTGCACAACCACCTACTGCGTCTTATTGATTCCCTCCAAAGCCCTCAATCTCATTTGTAGCTACACATTTGTTGAGTTGCTTCCTCGGTGTCTCCCCCTCCTCTTTAAGTGTTCCTAGGAAAGGACTGCATTTATTTTATTCACCAAACTAAACCCAGCAGAAGTCTATAGAGTAGTCCTCCGGAAAGAAGGATGGTGCTGGGCACATGCCCCACCCCCAATTTCCTATGTGTCCTTTTATTGCTCTATTCTCCAGCACCCAGCGCAATGGATGCTTTGTTGAATAAGTAAATATTAATGAGGATTGACTGTTCACTTCCTGTGAATCTTAAAATCACCCAAGGGAAGAGAGTAAAAGTATGTCTATGCTGCAGGTCCTGGAAGGCTTTGGAATGGTGTGGAGTTTACTCAAATATGGGAGTGCAAGTTGTGTTGGCCCCTCTCTGTAGGCTTCCAGGTTTTTGACAAGGGATAAGCTGACAGAGCTCAAATATGGGTGACTTTTGACTCCCTAGTTGCCAACCAATGTCAATCATTGTATAGAATTTGGGGGAATCCATGCAAGAATATATTCAATAATGGTTGAGGGTCAGAACTTTCATTTCATCATAACAGCTCCAGACTGGAAATTCTAAACTTTGCTCATTGATGAAACGCAGACTAAGAATAATAAAGAATAATACTTATAAGGAATTGCAACAGACACCTGATACCAAAGGAATTGGAAACAAAGCTAGGTTTATGGGAGTCAAGGAGTGAGTTTCCATACAAAGGTGGACCATGCATGATAGAAGGTGCCACCCAGTGTGCTGGCAGTGTAATTTTTATATGTGATCATGCATTTACTTGAGAACTCGGGAGCTTTTCAAATTCATCCAGCCCGTCTTCCATATTTCTTCCAAGACCCAATGAAACTCCGGCCATAGGCCGGCCAGTGAGGGGATGAAAATTTCCTGACCTCACAAGAAGCCCTTGTGACAGCACTATTACCCCTTCAGGGCTTGGAGACGTCACAGAGGAACCCCTGTCTGGGCCCCGTGGCTTCCGGAGGCTTTAGTGGGCCAGGCCAGCCACTCGAGGTGCTTGGTCCTGGCAGCAGCAGAGGCTGCGCTGTGCCGCGCTGCCCGTCGGAGGCCGGCCAGGCCCGCAGGGTGTGTGCTGAGTGATTCTTGCTTGTGCAAGGCAAACTTCGGGAAGGAAACGGGGCAGGTGGACTGTGCAAGCAGGCCGCTGAAGTTTTCTTTCAAGAAGATACCTCCATCTGCCAAGCCTCTTGAAGCTTGGCGGTCCTCCCACCAAGCCGGTTGGGGGTCCAAGAAGAGACTCATGCCCGGAGGTATGATGTGAGGTGATGTCAGAAGAATGGCACTCGTGAATAGGAAGTGCATCTGCGACCTTTGCTCCTGCGGCAGGCATCACTGCCCAAATCCCCCTACCAAGATTTATGAGAAGACAGAGAAACCATGTCTTTTCTCCGAATACACCGAGAAGTATTCTACCTATCATACTTACATGCCCCGAGAGTCCTTCAAACCCAAGGTGGAGTACCAGAAAGGAACTATACCAATGGAAGGCCTGTCCACAATGAAGAGAGACTTTGGGATTCACAACATAGTACCGGTGACACACTATCGTCCCGACAAGTTCACTCCAAGCCAAGATGAAATGGATTTCCTCACCACCTATAATCAACACTACAACTACAGCCCTGTCAGTCGAGTGAGCCCCATCAAACCTCGAGACAACAAACATCCATGTACTGACAAAATGGAGAGTGTGCCAACGTACAAATCTGATTATTTACCCTGGAACCAGCAAAGAAGACCTTCGTTTCGTCCACAGCAAACATACCGTCCTGCGTCCTGTAGGTTTGATCATAGAACCACACACCAGGACGATTATCCCATGAAACATCTTGTGGATACGGTGAGTTACAAACCTCCATCTGTGCTAAAGCTCTGTAACATCCCCCTGGAGAATACAACAAGCTATAAATCGACCTATGTGGCCCACCCTGTGGAGAAACGGTATGTGTACGAGGCAGAGAAATATAAACCATGTGAAATCCCTTTTGACGGCCTGACCACCCACAGAGAATCCTACAAGGGTTTGATGGGAGAGCCTTCCAAGAGCTGGAAACCTGTATCCAAGCACTCTGGGCTAGACACACCCTTTCCATCCAACACCGAATTTCGAGAGAAATTCCAAGCTTGGCCAACACCCCAGATCATCCCCAAAGAGCCCATCCCCTATATCCCTCCTGAAGGGAAGATGGATCTTCTGACAACTGTGCAAGCTGACTACTCATGCCCTAATGGTGTTCCTGCTCAGTCCTGCCGGCCAGTCCAGCACGTAAAGAAGAGTGACCGCTTTGAAGGCTCCACCACCACTAGAGAGGATTACAAACACTGGGCTAACGTCCGCAGAGAGCCAGTCAAACCTGCTCCTCAGCTGAAATTCCCTGATGAGCCTATGGATTACATGACCACCAATCGTGCCCACTATGTGGCCCACACACCTGTCAATACCAAAAGCTGCAAGCCTCCCTGGTCCGGCCCTTGTACAAACATCCCTTTAGAAGGTCAGACCACCTATTCTACCAGTTTCACTCCTAAGGAAATTCAAAAGTGCCCAGCTTCATATTCTGAACCCCCTGGCTACATCTTTGAGGAGGTGGATGCTGTAGGGCACAGGTTGTACAGGCCAGCTTCCCATACAGCTTCTCAACAGAGCAACCATTTTGGCTTTGGGGATGCATAAAGTCCTAACTAGAGAGAATTGGCAGTCTCAGCCTGCCATCAAAAAATGGTTGCTTAGCAATTGAAATTGCACAGTATATTAAAAACAAACAATTGAGGATTATTAATTGGACAAAAAGAATTCCCCAAAATGAAAACAACAATGTAAACAAAACAACACACTTCATTATCAATTTCTGGATATTTGGATGAAATAAGAATCACCTAAGCAAAATGACATGCAATCACCAGCTAATTGACTCCTCTTAACCCTTCCTCTACTGTACCTCCCCACCAATATCCCTTGCTTTGTGCTCATGAAATCAAAGCTGGTCTCAAGAAAATGTTTATCTGACCTAGGTGTATTTTATTAATTTGACATTTGCCAAGCTTGAAGTGTCAATAAAATTTATGTTGGGGAAGAAGTAAAATGGTGTGAGCATTTTTGTTTCTTAATTCTTCTTTAAATTTTTTTTTGTAGTGTTGTGGATTAAAATCAGACCCTTATACATCCTAAGCAAATACTTGACTACTAAGCTATACTCTAACCCCTTTAATTCCTTTTTAGGCTAAGCAGATTTTTGGTACTTATATATTGAAATCATCCAACTTAAAGTTTATCTTAGTATCAAAAACTCTGTATCACTGCAAGAAATATGCTCACCTTAGTTCCTAGGCAAATTGCACCGGTACTACATTGGTTTGGAATACTGAAAATGCATAGATATTTTTGTATACCTGTACTGAAAATAGGGAAAAAAAATCATAAAATTTGCACAAAATAATGCCCAGCCCATTAGCCCATTAGTTTTGGTGTAAGTAAATTAGCAAAAAGTGAAAAAGATTACTAAGTTGTATATGGTAAAAAATTTTAAATTTCACTTTTTTGTTGTTTATTTTCAAGACAGGGTTTCTCTGTGTAGTTTTGGTGCCAAATTTCACTTTTATATTTACTTATTTATCTTTCTTTTTACTCTACAGGTTCTTTGTATATGTATTATGGCTTCCAGTTTGTGTTTTTATGGGATTGCTTAGTGTGCAAACTAGTGCTTCTATATTTGTTTCTTATGCCTTTTCTTGGGCTATGTCCTTTTCTTTTGTCCTATTCCAATGTGTTAGTTTTTGCTTTATCTTATTATATTTTATTTTTATCCTTTAGAAGCCTGTTTGTTTTCTAATGAGACAGAAGGGATGAATCTGGATGGGGTGTGTGTGTGTGTGTGGAAAGGAACTTGGAGTAAAAAGAGTGGAAAACATAAACCTAAAAAACTTAATTAGAAAAACTTCTATTATTCTATAATCTCACAAACATATTCTTTTTTCATCTACCTGTTCGTTGCTCGTTTGCACATTTGTTTTTTTTAATAGTGCAATACTGTTATGTCATTGTGCTTATATGATCGCTTTCTACTTTCAAGTAACTATTTGTGAACACGGTAGAAGGAACGCAGGCGGGAAGAGCAGAGCAGCAGCTGGCACAAAGGAAAACTGCGATTTTGCAAAGCAATCGGTTGGGAGAGCAGACTCCAGACTTGCTGGCTCCGTTTTCTTTGTCCCTACATTCCAGGGACCCGCATCAGGGTCTTTGCCTCAGGGTCCAGTCTCACGGCCTCAGGCCCCGCCCCTCAGCTCCTGGCCCCGCCCACCAACTCAGGCCCCGGTCCCTGCTCCGGGCCCTGTTCTACCACTCCAGGCCCCGCCCCGCCGACTTAGGCCCCGCCCCGTCGCCCCACTGCCCAGGCCCCGCCCCTCTGCTTCGGCCCCGCCCCGCCCGGCCGCCATATTGATCCTTCTGCCAAAGTCGCTAGCTGCTGGAGCTGGAGCTGGCTAGCGCTCTCTACCCTTCCGAGCGTCTGGCCCTCTTTCTTCCCTGGTTGCACCCAGGCGGGCTGGCCAACAGCTCCCGGGGCGTCCTGTGTGTGGCTGGAAGGTGAGCAGGGGTCAGCAGTCCCTTTGGGGCCGGGCCGGAGATGGTTAAGGGTGCACGAACGGCAGGAGCTGAGGGCCGCCAGGGCAAGGGGCGCGCCAAATTGGCGCGGGTCTGTAGACTGCTGGGCAGCATGGGTGACTTCTCTCCCCAGTCTGATGACTGACGCAGGAGGAAAGACGGGTTTGCACACTCAGACATATGGGAAGAGGGACACACACCCAACCACTCGGGACATATACGCTCGTTCACACTCATATACACGCGCGCGTACACACGCGTGCGTACACACACACACACACACACACACGAAGAGAAATCCATAAAACACCCCGGGAAGGAGAGATACCCAAATCCCCTAACACTTAGGAATAGGATGGTGGAGAGATGCGCACACGGACTGATACGCAAACACCTGGGTACACACATACCCAGTCTTTCCCTAACCACACGGGGACACCCACGCACAGGAGATCAAACCTTGCGCCAGAGTGACTGACTAATGCTGGGGAAAGCAAGGACGCTCGTGTTATTTGAGTTTGGCGACCTCTGACATCCTACCCAGTTGAGCATTTACTTAATGTCTTTGGCCCACACAGGTGAGGGAGCTTGGAAGATAAAGCCAGGGCAAAGACCATGTAGGCGGTTGGGAACATTGTCTGATTCATACCTTGGCTGAGGTTTCAGAATTGCGTTCCTTCCTTTCTTCCATCTTAGTAACTGAAAATACCAGATGAGACTTAAGTGCTGACCAAAAGGTTGATGTGTGTATTATTGTTTTGTTTTTAAGTGATGACACAACATATCCCGTGATCATACTTCTTTTGAGGAATAACTTTTCTGCAAGTTTCCAAATTGGCACGTGACCAGTCTTTTCACAGCGTCCTCATAAAATCAGACTGAATTTGGTTTTTGTTTTGTTTTGTTTGTACAAGTTTTGTTTTGTTTTGTTTTTTTTTCTCGCTAGTTCCACCGCAGTGGAAAATCCCTACACTGCCTGAAATCTCAACTAGAGTTGAAGGAAACCCGGGGCTTTCAACTAAGAACTATTTTCCTTTTTCTTTTCTTTCTTTACTCTTTTCTCCTTCCATTGCTGGAGACCAAACCCAGGGCCTTGTGCTTGCTAAGCACCAGCTAGCTCTACCCCTGAGTGAAATTCCCCACTCCTCCCTTAGTTAGGGACCTAAGTAGCCTGCTTTTACTTTGTCTTTTATACTCTTAGGTCGAAGTTATCACTAATTGTGTTGAACTCCAAATTATGTTATAGAAGAGTGCCATATCTAACAGTGGTGTGGCAGTTTCTTGTTTTCAGGGTTTTCATTACATTGTAGTCTTTGCTGTACTGAAACGTTTATGGTTTGGAGGCTTATTTACTTAGAACATTTGGGGATTTAAGAGCATTTTTGTTTCATTTCCTGGAAGGTTAGAGTAGACAAGCAAAAACTAGAACATCCATTGTTGGAGACTAGCAAATGCATTGGTGGTATTCTCTCTTTTTCCAAAGATCCTTCTTACATTTTCCCTGTCCAGTTACTTCCATTTTGTACTATAGTACTCTAAAGGCCTGGAGTTCTTTTAGTTTTAGCAATTTTTTAAACCTTTAATTAAACCTTGAATTTCTTACTATGTATTGGGAAGTCCTCCTCCATACCACATGAAATGGTTTTCCTGGTGTTTCCAAAGCAATGGTTCTGTTTTACAGATGATGAATTTGCTGGGACCCAGGAGGGTTAAATCTCCTTTCCAAGGTCACCCAGGGAGTGAGGGGCAGTGCTGATATTCAAAGCATGTTTGGGGGCCTTTCAGAGTAGTAGTTTTGCAACCAGGAAGAAATTTTATCCTCTCCAGGGATATTTTGAGAAATGTCTGGAAGCATTCTTGGGTCATACTCCAGGTCACACCTGGCTTCTTTAGTTCTTTAAGCATTTAAAAAAATGTCATTTTACTATTTAGGATAGCATTTTTATTATTTTAAAAGCTTGCTGGGGGAAAATCCTCTTTATTAAGAGGTATATGAATACCTGGTAATAGAATCCAATTTTTGTTTGTTCATATTTTTTGTCTTATTATTTATTTTTAAGCTGGCCTCAAACTTGGTATGTTATTGGAGGCTGGTTTTGAACTCCTGATCCTACTGCCTCAGCCTTCTAAATTCTGGGATTGTGGGGATGCACTACCACACAAGTTTTGGGATCTTTTTTTTTTCCCCCTAAGACTTTCAAGCTATTGGGAACCATTCCAGTGGACTTAGTTTGTTTCTTCAGTATTCCATTCATCCACAGATATTTTCTGAGCAGCTTGCCAGACCCTGGTACAAAGGTGCTGGCCAGAAGCAAGAAGAGTGGGGAAGCTTCCACCTTCCTGAGGCTTGCAGTCTAGTCACAATCATGAGACCAGGTTCTGACATGGTCCTAGAAAAGAATTTATTGTTTGTACTACTCAGGAACAGAGGTCAGGTGTTCATTAAGGAAACAACACATCCACACCCAGCACAGAAGTACCTGTGTCATGACATTCTTTTCCGGGCAGACTTAGATGAAGTGGAGAACACTTGCTGGGCTCTTTAAAGCTTTGTACAGTTGAATTAGGCGTGCGTGTTTATCAAATTATGTCCAGAAACTAGTCCCTCTCCCCCCCCCCATAATAGGGTCTCACTGTGTGGTTTCAGCTGGCTGCGAATTCACTTTGTAGACCAGGAGGCTGGCCTGCAACTCAATCCAGCTCACAGCCTCTTGCCTGGAGAAGCTATTTTTAATGAACATAAGAGTCTTGCTTAAATTTAGCCTCAGTAGATAATAGGTGTTTTATTGTTGAAATCAAGAAATAAAATGATGAAAAATTTAAAATAACATTCCTATAATTTTCTTTTTAAAGATTTATTTTTGTGTTTATGTGTATAAATAAACATGTGTGTGTTTCGCCTGCATGTGTGTCTGTGCACTACTTTCATTCCTAGTGCCCATGGAGGCCAGAAGAGGGTAATGGATCCCCTGGAACTGGAGTTACAGATGGGCTTTAGGTGTCACGTGGGTGTTGGGAATCAAACCTAGGTCCTCTGAAAGAGCAGCCAGTTCTCTTAACTGTTGAGCCGTTTGTCCATCCTGCATAGTTTTCTTTTTGGTGTTTTTCAGCCTGTTTTTTTCCCATGCTTGTTTAAGACCAGTCTGAGACCAGGCCTTTCAAAATACATGCTGCTCCATTCTAATGTTAGTTCTTACTGTTAGGTGAGCCTTTGGGATGGATGATGGCTATGGGTGTGAGAGACAGAGAGAAAGAGAAGAGGGGTTGAATCTCTAGGATTTTTCAGGAAAACGTTCACATGGTCAGTAGGTTTGTTTGTGGGTGTGGCTGTGAGAGTGTATGTGTATGTCTGGTACATGTGCACATGTGTATGTGGAGGCCAGAGAAGGATGTGGAGAGTTCAGTTCTATATTCCACCTATATTCCCTTGAGACCGTCTCTCACTGAACCTGGAGTTAGGCTGCTG